TCGAAAACACCTCTCCGACCACTCGTGATTGGCGCCCCTCTCTTAGCCGGGCGCGCGCAAAAGAATTCTTAAAACGCAAGCCTCTCTCACAGCACACTGGCACGACAAGGGCGCGGACTGGCGCGGACTGGCACACACACCGGCTCACCACCGGAGCCGCCTAAGCGACTCCGTTAAGAACGGCAATGCACTCCGCACCATGCACAATGCCGCTCTCCCCGCACGCTAGCTCGTTCACCGTCTGCCACGCCACGGCGGTGTGGAGGACGACAGACAAGCGCTGCATCTGCAGCCCGTGCCAGTTCTTGGTGGTCCATGTGACCTCGTCCAGGTGCTGAGCGTGCGAAAGTTTGTTGCTCAGCTGGTTCGCCGCCTCCCTCAGGGTGCTGCGAACCTCCTTTCCAAAGCCTCCGAAAGCCTCAAAATCAAACAAACGTAGATCGCAATCCTGCTCCCGCGCAAAGCGGTAATCGCCATCCAGCTGCTGGAGCTTTCCCTTGGGGGCATCCTCCTCCTCCCCCTCCTCCCCCTCCTCCTCGGCCTCCTCCTCCTCCCCCGCCACCGCCGCTGCCGTCGCTCCCGACGGAGACCACTTGCCGCGCCCTTTGACCAACTTGAGCAGCCCGGTCTCCGTGTTGCCAAAACGCACATAGGCCCCCTTCCAGCCGAGCTCTCCGTCGCCGGCCGTGTCCTTGCCCTGGCTCGCAAGCGAGCTCGTGAGCTTCAAATCGGCAACAAGGCGCCTGTGCCCCCTGCCGATGTTTGCCGCGGGCATCTTTTAGCGGAGCCCTACAGAAACGCACGCGTTCGGCGGCTCGGCGGAGCGACTACGCGTTCGGCGGCTCTGCGATGGTTTCGGAAGGCTTGGACCCGCACCGTTTTCTTTTTCCTCCGTTCGCGATTCTCCCCTCGAAAATAATTTATTTTATGAAGACCTGCACCTCCGCCTGCGCCGAAAGAAAAGCGAAAGCTGTAAACGGCGTCTTCCAAAATGCGCGTCTTCTTCGTCTTCTTCGTCTTCTTCGTCTCTGCCCTTCTTCTCGGCTGCGCCACCGGCGAGCCGCCCGCCAAGAGGTTGGCGGAAGGGGTCACGGGCCTGTCGCGCCCGCCGTCTCCCGCAGCTCGCCGCCAGCTGGTCGAGACGAGCGACGTCGACCACGAGTCTCCGCCACCAGAGTCGTCTGGTGCGCCGTTTTGCGGCACCGGAGATGGCAGTCTCAAGCCGGAGGCTATCATCCTGCAGGACTCCATGGTGGGATCAATCGAGTACCTGGGTGATGGAGGGAAAGAGATGACAATACTCAACGGGCGAAAGTCGAAGCCTACTCTCGAGAAAGACGGCTTCGAGCTGCTGCAGCTCGAGGCGCCGCTTCTTTGGCGAAGCGAGATCATGGATGGTCATGATCCTGTCGAGCTCGAGGATCATGAATACGAGCGCGTGGCTGAGGTAGTAAAAAGACGTACGAACGCCCAAGAAGTGCATGTGTTTCGACATACATTTCGTCGTTCGGGTCTGACGCATCAGCGCGGCGCTCATTCAGACACCTTTGCGTTTCGGCAGCAGGGGGCCGCCTTCAGGAATGCAAAGGCCAAGCGCGTAATAGGTTGGAACGTGTGGACCTCATTGGACCCGGCACACGCCGTGCAGCGCGATCCCCTTGCTCTTTTGTCGGCGGCATCTCTAGACCCGCAAGCAAAGTTCTTCCCCTTACTGAAGGCGTATCCCAGGCACGAATGGCACTATTTCCCCAACATGACGAATCGCGAAGCAATCCTCTTCAAACAGTGGGACAGCGACTCCACAGTGAAACTTGAGATTGGAGACGCCTCATCACACGGGGGCTGGGAGCCGTCGCCAGATATCACATCCAACTACGTGTATCACCAGGCAGTCGACATTGGGAACCAGGATGCGCCTCCTCGGCGCAGCGCAGATTTCCGATGTCTTGCTCTTTACTACTGAGAAGGGACGCATTCGATCGTCATTCGAGGCTATAGCCAAGTACTAGCCTCTTGAAAAACTACGGCTCTAAGAAGATAATCTTTGTACTTTGACTTTAGCAAACATGTTTAGAACTTTCTCCAACTCACCCGGGGACGGACGTGCTGGCTGCTCCCATCCACAGCACGCCTCTTCCGAGAAACGCACGGCGTTCGGCGGCTCGGGCCTCGGCGGAGCGACTACGCACGCGTTCGGCGGGGCCTTGTGTGTGAGCCTGTTTGTGTCTGTGTGTCGCTCGTGCGCGTCGTCATCATCTGTCCCGCGTCCACCCATACCGCGCTGGTGTCCAGTCCGAGCCTGGCTGTTCTTCACCTTTCTTGAGCACTTGAGCACTTGATAGGGTCGATTCCGCATGGTACGGGACCCCTCGATCGTCTCGCCCACCCTCACTGGTGTGTTCATTGGGGGGGGGGTCATAACAAACACGGTACAGGATCGAGGTGCACGCTGCAGAAGCAGTGCCGTCCCCCCTCTCCCCGACGGCGATGGCGGTGTGACCGATCTTCTGCGGGCCGTCGGGTGCCTTGTACGCACCCCAGGTGCCAGTCTTGTACCCGTCCATCACGATGCTGCTCCGCGAGCCGCGGAGCGCAGACGCCGGCGCGGTGAAGGCGGCGGCGAGCGCGAGGCACAGCGCGAGGAGGAGGAAGCGGAACATCTGTGCGGTGTGCGGTGCGTCAGAAAGGTGAATGGCAACCTCTGGGAGCACCTGCGATCTGCGAGACGCACATCTCTTGAGAACAACCGAGGCGAGTCACAGGGAGCAATTTCACACCAGCTGTTTCACAGCCTTGTTATAGAGAAGAAAATACCTCTTCGCCATACCGCGTTGGTGTCCCAGTCGTTGGTCGGACTGTGTTTCGCCTTCCCATCAATCAATCAGTCGGAGTGTGTTTCGGTCGGTCTGTGTTCTTACGGCGCAGTCACAGGCCGGCGCGGCGCGCGCCGGCCCTGTGCGGTCGGTGATCGACGCGGTTCATCCAGAAGGCATTCCAGTGCGAGATTAGACCCCAGAACCTACAGCTCTAACAGCTCCGCCCTGTACTGTACCAGGTGCGGCGGTTAGTGGTGGACAAATGTGAGTGTACATGCCCTAGTCCGAGAACGCCCGCCCAGCCGCCCAGGACGCCCACATTCATCCGCGCTTTCGAATGCCCCTGTCCGTCCGCCTCTCCCTCTCGGCCCGCGCCCTGCCCCATTTTCTCCGCCTCCGTGCCCCGTCATTCGCGCTGGAGGCCTCCATCACCCACTCCGACCTTCGCTGCCCAGTGGCCGCGATCCCCGATGGGGGTCACGCTGGGGATTCATGGAACATCGCATTCCCCAGCACCAGGCCGCGCCCCTCTTTTCCCACCTTCAATTGCAACGAACTTCTTAGGCTCAATGTCATCCAGCTCGATGATGAAGATGCTTGCTGCTGCATTGAGCACGAAGTCCAAGTGGGTCTCTGCTGTGCTCAACAGTAGCGGGATCGATAAAACAAGGAAGGTTGTGCCAAAGACGTTCACCAGAGTCCAGAGAAAGATGCGCACACGGAGGCCCATGCGATTCACAGAGACGAACTTAAACGCGCCACGCTTGTCAGCAATACTCAGGGTTCCTCCCCGATTACAGGTAGCGCGCGCAAAGAGCCAGAATTTGAACATGGTGTTGTCATAGACAAGGAGGCCACCTTTCTGCACGATGAGCATGATCTGTATCACAGCGCCAGTAAAGTAGAAGAGGAAAGTTTGGCTGCTGGTGAAGTCCGGCTCGGAAGTGTAGATGGCATATGTGTAATAACCCATCAGCAAGCACTGGCCAGCTCCCATCGCAACCACATTCAGCATTGGCTCGGATAAATCTTGGTACCTGTCAGCCGCTTCGCCTTCTTGCGGCGGCGGCGGCGGCGGCGGCTCTGCCTGCTCCTTGGGCTGCTCTACGGGATCCTTATAATGCGGTCGAACTCTACTGAGCCGCTTCTCCATCCACGACTGCTGCCATTCATGGAGAAGCGGCTCAGTACTTACCTGCCTATAAAGACGGTGAGCGTCGTGTTCTGGTCGAGCAGCATGCCACCGGCAAAGATGATTGAGGTGATCGCAAAGAAGAAGGGAGACATGACGCCACACTGTCCCATGTACACAGTATACACGTCAGTATACACGTCCTTCATAGCGGATTGCATGGCTTCCTTTTTCGCCTCCGGTGAAGCAGCTTGTCTTGTCTGCTCTTTCATCATTTGAACCACTGGACCGAGCGAGCAGCACATGCTGCAAATGAAGAAGAACACAAACACGCCGTACAAAGCGCCACCGATGACAAACATGTCCGACGCAGACATGTACGTCTCTGTCTCGTTCACCGCCAGCGACACATTGACATTGACGGCCATGAACGGATCAAGGACAACTCGACAACAACACAACAAGCCGCGTTCGACCCAGCGGCAGCCCAACGGAACGATGACGAGAGCTGTTGTGGTGTGCGTTGGGCCAGTCTTTGGCGGAGATCTGTGCTGTTATTATGGGGAGCGTTGGGGCGCAAGATACAATAAGAATTTTACCAAGAAGAAATTGCCTTGGAATCGCCTTGTGAGGCACAGCAAGCCAGCTGGCGCTGCGTCGTACCGTGCGTCTCATCTCATCGTATCATGGCGTCGCCGCGGCCCACCGCCCTGGTCGAAGAAGAAGAGAGAAGAAGAGATCTCTCTCTCGACATGGTCGATGCGGTATGTATAAACGGCGTGTAAGGCGAATGATGGCATGATGGCCTCTCAGCTGTTTCACAGATAGGTTGATGAAACAAGAAGCTCACATCGAGACAGTGAGGGTGTGAGAGGCGGAAGATGTCAGAAAAATGCTCTCGTCGAAAAAAGAAAGCACCGTAACTCGGATTTCCAAGAGATCGCTCGCACCAGAGAGCACCTCTAACACGCCCCACTGGATAGGGCCTCCCGACAACGCACCGACGGTGCACGCGTATCACCACCCTTGGTCATCCCTGTCCCGCAGAAACCATGTTCCGCTTCCTCCTCCTCGCGCTGTGCCTCGCGCTCGCCGCCGCCTTCACCGCGCCGGCGTCTGCGCTCCGCGGCTTGCGGAGCAGCATTGTCATGTCTGGCCCCAACTCCAACGTGGCCAGGCCGCTCGCTTAAGGCTGATTGGCTAGACGAGCGGCCTACCTCCAACGGGGTAGTCTGGATCACGGGGGATGACATCCTGCCTCCCGGCACGCCGGGAGGAGGTGGGTGCTCCGCCGCCGGACCGCCCTCTCCACCACCCTCGCCCAGGGATCTACAACGCTGTCTTAAGGTCCAACCTGTGGGCTCTGCCTGCGCTCGGCACTGAGCACCGCCTCGGTATACAAAATGCGCCTGCGGGCGGACCCTCACAGATCACAGATCACAAAGAAAGAAAACAGACAACGCAAGGCCAAGGGGGGGATGGGAGGACGGCACGCCGCCACCACACAGGGATTTTAAACAGCACACTCTACATCGTCTGCACGCACTTGGAGCACTTGGAGTGCAGTCATTAACCGCACATCCAGGGCCGGGGAGCTAAGAAGCGCAGGCCGGATCGCGGTAAAATTCTTCTTCGCGACCCTGCCGATGCTGGGCGTGCTACTACGCCGCTCCCTAATCCGTGCGCCTGCTCACGTTTCTTTCCCCGTTCGGCATCGCCGCGGTCATTCGTGGCTAGCAGCAGCCGCCGTGGCTGGTGCGGCTCTGGCGTCGGCCTCCCAGTGCGACTCTGAGCTGGACGACTCTGAGGAGGCAACCGCGCTGGCCGCGCTTGTGCAATCGCTGCGGCGGTTAGCCGACTGGGCCTCCCTCGAGCCGGCGTGGCGGCAGTTCCGCCACGCCAGGGGCGGCGGCGACGCGTGCGCGCTCGCCTACCTCCGCACCGGCGGCAACGATCCTGAGGCGGCGGCAGTGCGCATTGCCGACACGCTCTCGTTCCGACAGGCGAATGGCCTCGTCGCGGACGACGCCGAGCTCTGGAGAGCTGTGGAGGAGCACCCGGCGAGGGACCGGTGGCCGTTCGCCTACCTGCCCGGCAGCGAGGTGCCAGACGGGAGCCCTGTCTGCTACGCGAGGCTGTCGCAGCTGCAGGTGGCGGCGACGCTCGCCGCGTTTGACGAGGAGGAGCTGATGCACTTCGTCGCGCTCTGGTTCGAGGGCGCGCAGCGGCTGCTCGGCGACAGCAGCCGGCGGCGCGGCGATCCCGTCCGCGGCACGTACGATGTGTACGACTGCGCCGACCTCTCTGCCTGGAGCTTCCTCTCGGAGGTGACACTTCCGAGACACTTCTCGAGACACCTCGTCGACCCTAGGGGCCTGACTCCGAGGTGGCCCCTCTGGTCCCTCCCGCGGGAGACAGCCGCGCATCAGACCGAGTGTCGAGCCCTCTCCCGGTGCCCCACCCCCAGCCACTCCACCCACGCCACCCGCCCCCTCCCGGAGGTGCGAGCCCACCGGCCGGCGATCAAGCGCATCTTCGCCATTGGGAGCGAGCACTTCCCCGACCTGCTCTACAAGTGCTACGTCCTCAACGCGCCCACCGTCGCCGCGCTGGTCTGGCGGTGCGCGGCGCGGGGGAGGGGGAGGCGGCTAGGGCGGCGGTGTGTGCGCACCCTCTCCCGTCGAGAGCGCCCTCTCCCTCCTCTCCCTCTGGCAGGTGCGTCGCGCCCTTCATGAGCGAGCAGGCGCAGGCCAAGGTCTGCATCTCCCGCGGCGTGCCGCCAGAGCTGGCCGAGGCGCTCGGCGGCGAGGCGGCGGTGCGACGCATGGTGGCGCTCGTGTCAGAGGAGGGGGAGGGGGTCGCGTGAAGGCTGGACGCGTTAACGAGCGGATAAGCCCGATCAAAAGAAAACGTATCGCTGGCTCACCGCGATGTCGGGGCCGCGCTTGAGCAGCTCAAGAACGCAGGGAACGAGTGCTTCCGTCGCAAAGATTACCACGGCGCGCTGCGCAGGTTACGACGAGGCGCTCGGCGGTCCTAACGCGTAACGGGCGCGGAGACGGCCTCAACATCGGCACATTGCTGCCGCTGCTCAACAACCGGGCGGCCTGCCATCTCGAGCTCGCTGATGCGATGAGCGGCTACGGCGAGGAGCGCGTCCACGCGTACAAACGAGCTCGTACGACGCCGAAGACGCCGCGAAACTTTCCAGGATGATGGGCGGCAACGCAAAGGCGCTCTTCAGGCTCGGACGAGCCACGCTCGGGGTGCAGTCCCTACGCTCTCGGCTGGTCGACGCTGCGGAGGCGCGCGGCCAGACAGACGCTGCCGAGGCCCTGCGGCTGCGCAAAGTGGCCGCCAAGGAGGTCGATGTCAGCATCATGCATCTCAAGTCGGCCCTACAGCTACAAGAGGGCAACCGGTCGATCAGCGACAAGCTCGACGAGGCAGAGCGCCTGCAGGCGGCGCTCGAGCGTCGCGGGGCTCCGCCGCCATCCAAAGCGCCGACGCCAGTCGTGCGACCGGAGAAGTTTGCGGCGTCTGTGGTCTTCACCCCAGGCGACTCGTGGATGTCCAACAAGGTGGCTCTGCCGCTTCCAGTGCCCAAGCGGGTGGGAGGGAACGCGATGCTGCCCATGTATCTGACCAAGCAGAAGAACGATCGACCGGGGCGAGCTGGCTATCTGGATCCTCTACTCGGATCACCTCGGCGAGGGCGAACTCGACGCGCGCGGCGAGGAGGCCTACGGCGAGGACGCGCAGTACAGCGTCGCCGCTGACCAACCCCACGGAGCCCTCTCGACACCCGCCCAGGCTGACACGCACATCCAGTCACCGGATGAGTTCGTCATGAGCTTTGATTTTGCGCGTGGCGGCAACTCCCTCGACGAGGGCATACCGGGAGCGCTGGTCGCAGCGGGTGTCATCGAGCGCGTGCGCATCGCCGGTAGGACCGGCTTGGCCTTGCGCTCGCTCTGATCGCAAAGATCGACACCGATGACACGCTCTGCCCATCAGGCCGGTCGCGCCTCGGAGGGTTCGCCCCGGGGGTCTGGGGCCAATGCCCCTGCTGCCCGAGCGCAAGGGGCCCCCGGAGGGCGCCCGAAACGGGCGGTATCCAAGCCCAAGGAGCTATACCAGCCGGGTGAGGGACCCCTAGGGGCGCCCAGCCCCAGGACCTATTAGCATCACTATGAGGGCGTGGGCGACGTCGGACCACCTGGTCCCCCACCCCTACCTCGTACCTGCAACCTGGTCGATGGACGATGGTCGAGAAGGCTTATTTATAAAGCAGTGTCAGAGCTCAGACACTCAGACACAGTGGGGATAGCAGTCCGGGGAGCGCGAGAGCCGAGCGCGATGTAGCGCGCTGTGTGTGTACGTGTGCACAGACAGTCTTGGCCCGAGGCGTCGCCCGCCACGCTCGTTGTGGCGCGCGGGTGCTTGCCACGCCGCCGCGCTGTCCGGGCAGCCCCTATCTGGATGCCGCCAGAGAGAGGCGGCGGCGGCTCCTAGTGCGCGTCATGCAGCGGGACCAACCCCCTTGCGACCCGCGACAGAGGGAGCGGATCGTGGGCTGGTGGCCCGCGAGCTGAGCGGCCGCATTCCTAGGGCTCCCCCAGGCCAAACTGAATCTTGCGGATGGTGCCGCCGTAGTTCTCGTCGTCCGAGCCGATGAAGGTCGCCGGGTGCCTGGGGCGCGGAGGTATGTGTGTAGTGAATTGGTGAGAGGGGGCACGCAAAGTACAGAAGGGGCACGCACTTGGTCATGAAGGGGTTGGTTGAGATGTTCTGGGCGCGAGCAACTGTCTCGACCTTAAACCCTTCGTGGTGCGAGACCTTCCCCGGTTCGTTGTAGATCACAACGTTCCCGTCGGTCGTGTCGACGTTTCCGATTATTGACGTCGCACTCCTGTAAGGGCCGTTGTCGGCACTGACCATGGCGTTAGAAGCTTCGGAGCCGGCGTCGTACGACGTGACGAGGTAGATGTCGCCGGTCTCTCGGAATCATAACTCGTACCTGCAACCTGGTCGATGGACGATGGTCGAGAAGGCTTATTTATAAAGCAGTGTCAGAGCTCAGACACTCAGACACAGTGGGGATAGCAGTCCGGGGAGCGCGAGAGCCGAGCGCGATGTAGCGCGCTGTGTGTGTACGTGTGCACAGACAGTCTTGGCCCGAGGCGTCGCCCGCCACGCTCGTTGTGGCGCGCGGGTGCTTGCCACGCCGCCGCGCTGTCCGGGCAGCCCCTATCTGGATGCCGCCAGAGAGAGGCGGCGGCGGCTCCTAGTGCGCGTCATGCAGCGGGACCAACCCCCTTGCGACCCGCGACAGAGGGAGCGGATCGTGGGCTGGTGGCCCGCGAGCTGAGCGGCCGCATTCCTAGGGCTCCCCCAGGCCAAACTGAATCTTGCGGATGGTGCCGCCGTAGTTCTCGTCGTCCGAGCCGATGAAGGTCGCCGGGTGCCTGGGGCGCGGAGGTATGTGTGTAGTGAATTGGTGAGAGGGGGCACGCAAAGTACAGAAGGGGCACGCACTTGGTCATGAAGGGGTTGGTTGAGATGTTCTGGGCGCGAGCAACTGTCTCGACCTTAAACCCTTCGTGGTGCGAGACCTTCCCCGGTTCGTTGTAGATCACAACGTTCCCGTCGGTCGTGTCGACGTTTCCGATTATTGACGTCGCACTCCTGTAAGGGCCGTTGTCGGCACTGACCATGGCGTTAGAAGCTTCGGAGCCGGCGTCGTACGACGTGACGAGGTAGATGTCGAGGGCGGTTGGACCACGAAGCAAAGGTCGATAACTCGAACGACATGCTCCCCTTTTCCTTGTGAATGACAAGGTTGGGCTCGAGCTCCAGGTCGGCCCAGCGGATGGTGGTTTCGTTGCGGTCGGCCCACAGGAAGAGGTACCTGTCCTCCGACGACCCATAGCGGGCGACCGCGGTGCCCTCCACGTTGTGGGAGTAGGTGAAGCTTGAGAAGCTCGTGTGGTCCGAGATCGAGACGGCCGTTACGCCGTCGGGGGCGCCGTCGCTGTTATCGCTCAGGCTCACCTCTGCCAGGTAGATGCGGTCGGCAGGGAAGTCCTTGTCGAGCGAGTTGGTGCTGCTGCATTTGTCATTGCGCGAGTTGGTGCTCTCGCACAGAAGAACCAGATGCGGCTTGCCAGGGATGCCGGCAACACTCTCCAGATCGTTGGGCCCCTTGTACGTGTGCGTCTTCTCTTTCTTTGTGCGGGTGCACGTACGGTCGGTTGGCCAATCCTTTTCGTCGTAGGCGATTTCCGCAACCTGGGTTGGCGCGCTGGGTGATAACGACGGAGCAGAAATTGGGGACGAGCTTGGGGGGGGGGGAGGGAGGTGCTGCGCTCGGTGATGAGGAGGGAGCGCGGCGCTGGGCGAGGTCGCGATCGGGTGGTGGCGGGGATGGCGGTGGCAACCTGGATTCCGATCGCGAGGTCGAAAGCAATCTGCACCAGGCTCACCCGCGGCCACATAATATTTTCGTAGCCCTTCATGTCGTGCACCGTGATGAAAGAGCCGCCGCCGACGTAGGACATGCCGCTGACGTCCTTGAGCCTTGGGTTCTGGACGGGCTTGAACTCGGTCTTGCCGCCTGGCGCGACGCTCGCAAACAGGGCCTCGCGCGACGGGAGAGCCGCCGCAGGCAGCACGAGCATCGTGAGTAGCACAAGCATGGACATAGATCTAGAGCCTGACACGCCGGGCATCGGAAGGGGTGTGAGGGGGCTCAGGCTATAGATTTCTAAAAGGCTAGGTGGCATGTGATGGGACGGGGTCTGAAGGGGAGGGGAAGGGGGAGACAAAGTCCGAACGCGAAAGTTGAGCGACAGCTACGGCGGCTGGCGAGGTCGAGGGCGGCGGCTACACGCGGGCGGCGACCGAGGGGGCGGCGGCGGCGAGGACGGCGGCGCGCGGCGGCGGCGGCGAGGGCAGCGGCGGCCAGGGCGACGGCGGTGCAAATGGAGTCGGCTCGGGTAGTGGAGGCAGGCACTGGCGACGCGGCGGCGGCGGCGGCGGCGGCGGCGGCGCTGACATGGGCGATGGTGGGGCGGCGAGGGTGCGCCGCGGCAAGGCGGCAAGGCGGCAAGGCGGCGAGGGTAGCGGTGGCGCGGAAGGTAGCGCGGAGGCGGCGGCGAGGCTGGCGGAGGGCTGGCGGTAGCGAGGGCGAGGGCGAGGGCGGCGGCGGCGGCGGCGAGGGCGGCGGCGAGGGTGGCGGCGGCGGCGGCGAGGGCGGCGGCGAGGGCGGCGGCGAGGGCGTGGCGAGGGCGGCCGAGGGCGGGCGGAGCGGCGAGGGCGGCGGTGACCGGTGGTGACGGCGGCGAGGAAGGCGCCATGGCGAGGGCGTGGGCTAAGGAGCGGGCGTCACGCAGGACGCAGGGAGTCGGGGCTGCCGAGAGCGGCTGGGCCGCACGACCTGCAGGCGAAGTCAGAAGGGGGGGGGGGGAGGTAGGCGCGTCGATTCGCGATGGGTTTGCGAGTGCGGTAAGTGGGAGCGGGCGATGGGAGTGAAGGTCGGGATGAGCCGCGCGCCGTTCAGCCGAGACCATAAAGTGCAGGCGCCTCCAAGACGTCGGCCTCGTGGGTGCGGCGGCGGCGGGCATGATGATGCCGGAGATGATCAAGGCGGCGGCGATGATGGCGGCGGTGATGAAGACCATCGCGATGCTGGCGGCGATTGAGGGCGGCGATGGGGTGAAGATGGCAAGCCGGCGGAGGTGAAGTCGGCCTGACCCTCGCGCTCTGCGCAGAGGCGTCGTCGACAGAAGAGCGAAGCTCTCGTAGTGGGAAGATGAGCGCCGTCCCGGCTGCCGGGAAGGCCGAAGCATTGCGCGCGCCGCCGATGACGCCGCCCCCGAATTTGCGCCGGGGATGTGTAACTCAGTGGCGGGGGCTGTGTGGCTTGCTTGGTTTGTGCGTCGGTGGGAGTGGCGTGTGGTCTACGAGTGGAGGGGGCGCAGGCGCCCACGAAGCAGCGTCGACGCACCTGTGAGTGGGATGGGAGCGGGGGTCGCTTCTCGCCGGCCAGCGGAGGGGCAGGAGGCGAGGGCGAGGGCGCAAAGCAGAGGATCGCCTTGGACACTCGTCGGCTTGATGTCAAAAGCAAAAGCTCGGCCCGACGAACTCAGGCGGGCTTGCAGCTGTGAATGATAGCAAAATGAATGATAGCAAAAGCTCGGCCCTCCGAACTCACTAGTGGTGTGGGTGGGTGGGTGGCTGGGTGGCGGGGGTGACTTTAAATGTGCAGGCCAGGCTTTCGCCGCGAGGGGGGCTCTGTTCTTCGCCTTTCTATATCTATCTACACGGACGACTCCTCGCTGAACGTGGGGACCTGGGGCGGTCAGTCATGACC